ATTTGTCAAGTACCAGGGACCAAAAAAAAGGCACTTAATGCACTTAAAGATAGCTGCTTTTAACTTACTTTGGTACCAGATACAAAGTAGTATTGGGAAGTTTTTGGGTTTTAAAATAGCTGCAGCAGCTCTGTCATGCTGCCAACACTTTCATAGATTTGTTTCTGTCCCTCAGCTTTACTGTCTGCCGCAGGAGAACTGGTATTTTTTTTTTTTCCCTTCCATAGGGTATTTATGGTTCTATGACAATGACAGGTTGAGGACAAACAACTCAGAATTTGGCATACATAGAATGAAGCAACAAGAAAAATTGTTAGCTCAATATAAAACCAGAGTCATTTCTAAATATCAGAGATGGAAAATTTGCTCGATGACCATATGGCGTTGTTCCCAGTGTCTGCTATACACCTTCGTAATAGCAAAAGAATGCTCATTAACGAAACAATTGACAGATCTGCCAAAGGAAGTTTCATCGCTCTGATCTGTTGTCTATAGTTAGCCCGGCAGTCTCCAGAGAGCCATTTTCTGCCAGGAGAGATATATTATCCATCAAAACAATTCTTTCCAAGCACTAAGTAGTATTTCAGGTGGCTGTCAAGTAAACACAAGAGATTTCAAGTACTGCTACAGCTTGTTAACTTGCTTATTGGTTGAATTCAGTTAGGTCATAGGACTTCTTAATCTTAACCTTGGAGAGCAAAGCACAGCTGAGAAACCAACCTCATGACTTCTCCAGCACATTCACCTACACAAACTAGGCAGCTGTTCTCGTTACTGAAAGCTTAACAAGGGTATTCCTCCCCAAATGCAAGCATTCAACCAGAAGCAGGGCCATATGCAGCATTCCAGCTCTACGAGGGGCCGTGGCTTCAATTAGTTACAGAATCATGTAACTGAATCCCATCAACCCTTGCCAAGTGTTGGTACTAAAGCCATAGAACAGCCACAGATCTACAAAAGGGCAACCGGTGAGTCTTCACCCCATTTCTTAGAGTCCTGAGTATGAAGCAGGAAACACCCCAACACCCTTTCTGCTTTTCCTCGCTGAGCTAACAGCGTAGTCTCTACTTAGGGCCAGATTAGTAAAGCCAGAGGGAGGAAATGCAAACTCCCTGGATTGTCTTTTGAACGAGCTCCATCTTGTGCTTGAATCTGGAACAACAGGTCCTCAATACCGAGCTGAACGACAAGTACAGAACCGTGGAAGATCTCATTGCCAAGAAGACAGAAGAGTCAGCTGATGCGAGGAGGAGAGCCAGCATGTTGCAAGATGAAGCTAAAGCCGTGTTGGCTCAAGCAAACAGCAAACTCCAGCTGCTAAAAGGTAAGGCTGTTCTGAGGACGTAAATTGTCATCTTAGAGTATGCGAAGCAATGTGATGCCGTTAAACCAACTATTCATCAGCAGTAGGGAAAAAAAAAGTTAACTGTTTGTTACTGAGGTTTGATTTGCTTTCCTTATTCTTATGGACACAACATAGTCTTGAATCAAAGATTTCTATAAAAAAAGCTGAAACTTACAGTGAGACACAAACTTCTGATATGGCACCTATCACTGCTCCAAGAACCCCTCCAGGGAAAGAACATAGCTACCATGCTTAGGACAAGGACTAACCCCTTCAAGCAAGACCCACATCTGCAAACAATACTGCCCCCACCCCAGAAAGCTATTAGAACAAAAGGCAATCGGGATACGTCAGTTCTAGTTTACAGATTAATTTAACATTTCCCATTTCCAGTAACAGTTGATTGGAATAGGAGGGAGCAATCTGCCCGCAACTACCAGGGAGGGAGCTAAGTTTTCCTTTTGTTTTTGCCAGGCCAGGAACTCATTCTTCCCTGAGCTGTTCCTGCACAGTTACAAAACTTGCTGCATAGTCTTAACCATAACAAGCCAAAAACCTTTCACTGTTCTGTAAAAGCCACTATACAGCAGAGAATGACAATTACTTTCAACATGAATCAAAATATACTTTTGGATTTCCACTTAGGGAAAGTTACTTTCTTGTTGCTTTATATACCAGTGTTAAAGAAACAAAGAGTTGCCATTCCATCCCTTCCTTTTTTTTTTCTTTCCTATTCAGATTCTCTTCCGCAATAAAAATAAATTTGAGTAGTAGTTTATCCGTAATGATAATGATTTACATTTTACTGCATTAAAACACCCCTAATTAAGCTGTTTTTCCCCTTCCTTTGCTGACAGACTTGGAAAATACATACGAAAACAATCAAAAAGTTCTGGAAGATAAAGCCAAGCAGTTGGTGGAGCTGGAAGAAACGGTTCGCTCCCTCTTGCAGACAATCAGCCAGAAGGTTGCTGTGTATAGCACTTGCTTATGAATGGGAGCAGGAAATGCGTGTGTTCAGGATGAATTTTACAAGTATTACACTAGTTCTTTTTGACATTACACTAAGACCTGGTAAAGTGAACAGGTTTTATATTGACTTTCAAGTCACAGAACCAAAGACAAATAACTTTTTGATGTTGAAAATAAACAGTACTTTTGTATCACTGTATGTACCTAGTATGACTCATTAAGTTCCTTCCTATTCTCAGCAGCTGAAATAGTAAATCAATTAAACCTTTAGCAAGTCTTGGTTTTAAACTGGTTAGAGAGCTAATAAAATCTTGGCTCCAGCTACCTAATTCTTAATAAAGGCTCCAATTACTAAGAAATAGAGGATGGTCACTCAGAAAAAAATTACAAGTGAATGAAGGAATATCATCCTTGTATGATTAGCTAGCATTTACACAACAGTACTCAAAAAGGATTATTTACCCTCTGCATGATATCCATTTAGGCTTAACACTAGTTTCATGTCACTGATTATGAAACACTTGATATGTGAAGTGGAAACAGAGGTCAGCACTGAAGTGGGGAGCGTGGTTTACATTTCAAGCACTAAATTTAGGTGATAAACAAGCTTGGAGGGTCAAGACTCTGGAAAAGGAACTACAAAAGTTCACAGGGCACTTAATGTGAATCAGTTAAGGAGCTGTACACAGACGTTGCCCTCTGACAACAGCCTGCAGGAGTAACATCCAGTTCACAGTTACGTGGAACAGCGCACCTCCAATTGTATTGTACTGCACCAACTGATTTACAACATTTATCAGCTACACAAATTAGCAGCCAAAACTGCAACATGCATTTACAAATCCTGTCTGCAAACTCTGACCTGAAGAATACCTCTGCATATAGACTTTGATCAGCACCTTACCTAACCTTGACCGATGTCAGCAAAAGTTAGTCAGGACAACTAAGGCAGAATATATCACTACCTAAGCAAACTGAAGAACAGTATGTTTAAATACGTAATTACCCTTAAGCTCCATAGGTTACAAATGCTAGAGCAAAAAAATCCATCACAGGCATCGATTACCATACCAGCATCGAACACCTTTTCACTGCCCGTATACTCCACAGTTGTTAAAAATACAATCTGCAAGCTGAGCAACATTCAGACTTAACTGCTGTCAGACCACTGACAAGTGGCTCAGTAGCTCATCGTACTTTTTTTACAAACACTCCTTGTATGCTTAACTAGAACAGGAATGACAGCAAGAGAAATAACAATACAGTAACAATCTTAAGGCCTTGAATTTTATTTTCAAGTGTCTGGGACACTATAATCTCCAGTATAATTTTAGTAATATTCTTGATTAAAGTTTCCCTGACATTCCAAACTTCATTTAACATGAACAAAATGAGATACGAGAATTTGTAACTGATAAATCTCAAGGCTGAACTGCAGTAAGACTGCCACAAGTATTGCGGGAGGTGGGGGGAGCAGACACAAAACTGTTTCTGAAAGAGCAGGGCTTCTAAGAATAACTTGCAAAGCAGAAGATTAACACTTAGTAGCATTTACCTGCAACAGGTAGAAGTCATTCCGAAATGCCTAGCTCTATCAGAAGAATCAAATTTTTCTTCCCTCACTATTGTCTCACCTTTGCTTTCCCTTCAGCAACTTCCTACTAACACTTGAAAAAAGATCCACATTAATTCACTTACTCCAATTCACAGATATGCTGGGTCATCTCATAGCCTGCTGATAACTTCAATGAGCTGTCGTGGTTTAACTCTATCTACATTTAAAACAGGAGTTTAAAAAAAAACAAACCAAAATGAACAGTATCACTGGTGTTTGTTGATTAACTGGTATCTTAATAAAATGATAACATTAGCATATATTTCCATCCCTCAGTATGGATACTGAATCAATACTTAATAAGAAGCTCTAAAGAAAGGCAGGAGGATACAACCATCTTGTATATACACAAAACCACGTAGCTTTTGCACCATTCTCTGAATGCACATTTCTCATCTATCATGCCATTGGCATAATGAAAAAGCACAGGCACAATACCAGGTGGTGTTAAGGTCTTCTTCAAGGCAGAAGAGCCTAGCCAAAAAAAAAAAGAAAAAAAAGGCACCCTGAAAAAGAAAACTTAAAATGAGCTAATGGAATTGGGCACATTCCCTATACACCTTAGGGATATTCCAAAGATGCCATTTGTTGTGAGTTTCTTCACGTATTCAACAACCTAGACACTAAAAGGAGTAACAGGGCCAATCAGCAAACAAAACCCAAGAAGACCCTCCAGCCACATTAAATATTTATTAAGCTCTCTTATTACATAACGGACAGAAAGAGAGCACAAAATAGAAAACAGGAGAAGAAAGTACGTCTTAATTGTGTGGAGAGCTGACACTGCAGCCCTTGTGTGTGGAAGGTACAGAGTAACCCTCATGTCATAGAACTTAACAGCAAGTGCTGCTTCACTACTGAGTTTTAGCATTTCAAGTGTAAGAGTTGGACAATGGAAGCTTTAAAAAACTGAAAATATTAAGTAGCAGTAGGATTAATTTTTCTTCAGTCTTTGATTTATCCATCAGCACTTGATTTTTCCCCTGATGAGTTTTCAATATGAAAACATGATGTGTGGAGAATCACATACACACACAGAGTAATTTTCTCTTTAAAAAGTCAGTATCATTTTAATGGGTCTATACGAGCCCCTCTTCTCCCAATATCCTAACACTACTAGGTCAAAACAAATTGTGGTACTTGTATGTAAGAAGTAAGTTAAATACTAAAGTTAATCCTTTCAGGAGGAAACACATTTTTGTGCGGAAGTGACAGTGGCATTTTAAGTGCCAGCGGCATTTTAAGTGCCAGTATTCAACAGGTTTAGTCTATCACTACTTCCAGGTATGCTGGACACTTATATTCAGAGTTTTGACCAACACACCTGATAACCCCATGCAGCAGCGAAATGTTTGGTTTTGAAGAAGAAAATAGTTCTGTCAGGCTGTTTTTCTGCAGCATTCATCATGTAAATAAACAAGTAATTTTAAGTATTTAATTTACAGAGACTGGATAATTCCACTTGTTCCAAACTCTACTTGCTTAAATATTTGATGTTGAAAATGAAAACATTCATTTAATTCAGTCCCAAAATCCTCAGACTCAGCCTTCCATAAGGGCCCACAGTCCATTTTTAGAGATGTACTATACACGTACAAAGATCTGCTCTTTTATTTTAGAAGTTGATAGCTTTGCCAAAAGATGCTGCTAGGTTTGCTTCCCTGAAGGCTTCTGACACTGTCTGTGGAGAGCAAACACAAAAAGGTACAAGTCATTAGCATTTACATGTGATTATAGCACATCTGTGTAGCCCTGGTGTTCAACAGTCCAATTAGAAAAAAACTTACTGGATGGGCATGGCAAACTCTGGCTACATCTTCACATGATGCTCCATATTCCATAGCAAGAGCAGCTTCATTAACCATTTCACCAGCACCCTGTAATTTAATGGTATTTGTAATTAGCACAAACCTTTATGCAGTTGTCCAGGTTCTCCTGAATCAGCTTGTAAATAAGCATCTTTTGCTAAAAAAAGAAAAGTTGTATTATAACTAGCACTTCAGCTGTGTTCTAATATAAGCCATAAGTACTTAATCTATTTGGTGACTGTGCTCAAGCCTAGTGTAAATCTAAACATAATTCTTAATGACAGTATTTTTTCTGTCATTAACTGAGAGTTGTGCAAAATCTGGGCATTTTGCCACCAGAAGATACTGGTCAGATAATACCTACATTCTCATCAAACCTACAGTGTGCGGTATCACTGCTGAAACCTCCCCAAAACTTAAATGGCCTCCTGGAAAGTTAAATAGATAACTAGATAAAGAAAAGCGTGTTATTACATCTGCACCCTCATTTTTATTAATATGAGTTGTATTTATGCGTATTTACTCAGAGAACATTTCTTTGAGAAGTCAAAAATAGTGCAATGTCCTGTTACATTTTTAGCATTCAGATCCATAATCATAAGATTTTTCCCCAGCCCTTTCCCACTGCAGAAAATCAGTCTGTCTCACAGCAATAAACCTAAGTTGTGCTTCCTTTAAAGCATGTTGATTTTTAAATGACTGGCATTGTGAGAAAATAACTAGCATAACCTTTTATTATGTATTCCTATCAGAAATTATGAGAATCAGATTGAGAAACAAAAAGGCTGTCCACTAGTGTTGACAGTATATCCATTCATAGAAATAAAAATTCCTTTCCAGGAAAATGGAGTGTTTCTCTTAAAGAAAGCAGAATACAAAGATGCACGGAAGTGTTTCTGCATACATTTTTAAGAAAAAAATGATTATTTAAAGCCAAGATAAACAAAATGGAGAGAGATTAGGGTCTAACTTTGGACTGTGTGGGACAGCAAAAAATGATACTTTTCCAAAATAGAATTTTCTGCTTTCTAATCTTTGCAAAGGATTCTTAATCTAAGTTCCATAAGTTACCGCCCCAGATTTAGTGACTGCAGCATAAGATTATCAACTGTGCTGAAGTCTGAAGTTCGGAGGGGCGGGGAGGAAGAAGAATTCACCAATGAAAAAGCCATAGTCTGTTTGTTCAGCTCCCTCAACTTCCAGAACTTGAGTCAACAACTTCTCCTGTTCTCTCAAGTATTTGGGAATACTAATTAAAAAAAAAAACAACAAAAAACAACAAAAAACCCACCAAGCCCCCAAAAAACTACACAACCTAGTCAGAGAAACCAATTAACCTTAACAATTCTTGGGGAAAAAAAAAAAATAATTAAAAAATGCTGGGTCTAAGACCAAAGTAACAGAAAACAGAGAGGATGGTAGGCCTGCAGAAGAGAACAGTAAACACAAGTGACTACGGTAGACTCAAATCTTCCTTCTTTTTACAAGCATTTCTCCTAACCTGACATCTACTTTGCAACTGTGCAATGCTAAATAGAAGACCCTTACAAGGCCAAGACAGCAGCACAATTTACAATACTTACTGCGCCTAAAATGTGAGCGCCCAACATCCTGTCTGTCGATTTTTGACTAAGTATCTTCACCATGCCATCTGTGTCAGCATTTGTCTTTGCTCTACTGTTTGCAGCAAATGGAAATTTCCCAATTTTGTATTCTACACCCTACAAAACAGGTATGTGTTACTGAGTTAATGACCAACAAGAACAACGTAGCCACAGATACAATTTGGTAAGTACAAGACCAGAAGTAACACAAAAATAAAAGACACATAAGAACATACAGAGCAATGCATAAGAACAACCACCAAAGGTGTATAAGGGAGATATTAAAATAAGATTAATTAGAAATGAACAGTATTAACTTCATAGAATAGAATTCATTAAAGAGAACTGTGATCCTTGGAGGGAGCAGCATGCAGGAGGGAATCATTCAATTGTACACCCTAAGCAATAAACTCAGACCCAGAAATTCTCCTGGAAAAAGTAGCTAGATAAACTACTAGACAATGAAATCACACCCAGGGTGGAAAAATGGTTTTGTCTGAGAAGAAAACAAACAGTACCTCTTCTTTCAGCTGTTCTTCTGATTTGCCAACCCAGGCCACTTCAGGGTGAGTGTATATCACAGAGGGTACGCAGTTATAGTCAATGTGAACTGCTCCCCCAGCCATCCCTTCCACACAAAGAATGCCTTCATCCTCGGCTTTGTGGGCCAGCATAGGTCCAGCAACTACATCACCAATAGCATAGATGCTATCAGACCAATGAAACAGAATAAGACACTGTTTAAAAACATCCTAACACACCTAGACTACCTTATATAACAGTCAGTTTAACACATGCTACTGAAAACTCGAATCAAAACAGATTAAAATATTAAATTTCAAAAGAAACACAAAGTATAACAGAGTAGTTTCCACAGAACGACCACACTTCAAGAAGTACTAGTGACATTAAATACACACAGTAATTTTTAAATTACAAAACTTCAAAGGCTGACTAAAAATCTTTAGTTCCTGAAATAAACAGAAATTTTGAGTTTTCCTTTCAGAAAAGAAAGCTATATTCTACACTAAAAAAAAAAAAAAAAAGAGTGCTTTAGTAGGTTAAACTTTTAAAAATAAGAGTTCGTTCAGCTTAAAAAAAAAGTAAAAAATATTATTTAGTATTACTTACTTTGGAATTTTGGTTTGGAATCTGTTATTGACTGGGATTCTCCCCCTCTTATCAAGTTCAATTCCGATATCTTCGAGACCTAGATTTTTTGTAAAAGGACGTCTACCGATGCAAACTAGGAGCACATCACAAGTTATTACTTCTGCCTTGCCACCAGCAGCAGCTTCAACACTATAGAAAAATAAGTAGTAAAAACACTAAGCTGTAAACTTTCAGTGTTGTATTTCTCTGACTAGTAACCAGCATGATCCAGATGGTGACCTACTGGCTGATCTGGCATCCAAAACACTTGCACTCAGCCTGCCTCAGGCTCCTTCCTTACAACAGTTGAGGAGTAGAAGAGGGAGGAAGGGACAAAAATCTCTTACTACATTTGTTAACAACTCTTAGACAGAGAAATTCAGGATATATATCCACTAGCAAGTGGCATGACCTGACAGGATCAAATCTGTACAGCAAATAACTGGTGCTCAGTACTCGACATCCAAACTATATATATTTTGGGGTGGAGTAGGGCCATATATTCTGAGCAAGCTTTCTTCTGGCTCAAGAACCAAACACCTGTTAGGAGCTGCCCTACATCAGGTGCATCTCTCAAGTGCATCTTTGTGCTTAATTACCCCCAGAACAAGTTGAGTTCACATGCTCTGGAAGTGCAAGAACCAAAGCATGGTAAGTGAGGATAAATAGGAAATGTGTTTCAAAAGCATACTCCTGAAATAAAATGAAACTTTAAATATAGAAACAAACTACATGAGAGATCCAATCAGCATCAGTGTGGTATGTAAAGAAGCCCAAATCTAGGACCTTTACAACGGTGGAGGATACACTATCGTGAGATATGGCGATACAGCAAATACAAGTCACCATATTAAGATTCTAGTGGAAAAGCCCCCAACATTTAAGCTTACTTTTGTCAAGTAATATTAATTTTTTAAAATCTCAAACTACAGTTTACATAACCAGACTGCACACAGAATACACTAACAAGAACAGAAGTAGTGTATACATATGGAGTTTTACAAAGCAAATTTGCTTTATATGTTTCTATATTAGCTCTTCATCTATAAGTATTCAAAGGGCTTGAGTGTGGCCATTAAAAAACACTCTGGGGTAGTTTCATTTACTTCTACTTGAAAGCAGTCAAATCTCTGCCACACTTATCTGGAGACAAGGGGAGGTATGGACAAAATAACCCCTCCAATAAGCAGCCAAGAATTAATGGTGTGAAAATGACCATATGAACAATCATGATATTTATGTTAATTATACCAGAAGCAAAGATCTTCCATGAAAAAAAATAATTTAGAGTTCTGCTTTTATAACTCATCTCATTACTCAACACCACTGGTTTTATACTAGGCACACCTTCAACTCAAGTCAATGCAACTTCTCCTGTATAAGCAACCTAGGACTCAAACTCAACAGGATAAAAATTAAATTTCACTGAAGAATTGTTTCATCCTAAATCCATTTTTTCCTATTCAAAGAATAATATCAGACTATATTTTTAAATAGGTTTGAAGGATTGGGTGGAAGACTATACATGGCATTCCTTTAGTTTTATGTTAAACACTTACGCTACATCAATTTTTCCATCTGGTTTCTTGGTAGCACCAGTAACTTTGGTGTTCAGTTTAAACTTAAGTCCCTGTTTCTGAAGAATACGTTGGAAGTTTTTAGAGATCTCCATGTCAATTCCCATTCCACCAACATGGCCCATGAACTCAACAGCTGTCACATCTGCACCGAGGCGCTGCCAAACTGAACCCTGCAGTCCACAACAACACGCATAAGTTTTTGAAAGGAAAACTTCAGATGTCTTTACAGTAATACTTATCACTTCAACTGTAAACTTTTCAAAAGCAGGACAACAGGTAAGACCAAAATGATGAGCTTTTACAAACATTACAGTGTAGGATAAAACATGCTCACTACTTGTCCCAGCCTTTCCACAAAAAAATGTATTTATCACGGCTCGTTTGCATACCCCAAACTACAGTGATTGAATTCACAGAATTAATCTTTTAAAGAAATAACTAACAAAATAATTAAGTATAAATTAAGTATACTTTAGGCTATAGATACAGAAAAATTCAAAATCAAAGAATGTGAGTGTAGCTCAAAAAATCCAGAGGAAGTTGTCTGTGGTGTTTTAATACGATTAGAAATTAAATCAAAACAATGCCACATTATGGAAATTTTATGCAATAAAATGGAACCACTGCTGCTTCTGTATGTATTTATAACCATAACCACTATCATCAGCTTCACTAACAAAACCCACATACACGCTATGTACCTCAAGTTACCCACATCCATCCCACGCAGTATTTCACTTTGCTTAGTCTTTCCCTGCTTAATGGTCAGCAGGCTAAGCAGATGTGCAAATTTGCAAGCACTTGCAAGACCAGCAAATATACATTCTTCTTGAACCATGTAGTTATGAGGCAAAAGGACTCAGACCAAAATGAACTACAGCGCCTCCACTCCTTTGGTTGCTAGACAGAATGCGTGCAATCAAATCACGTGAAAATGTATTTAAGTGCTACACACAAGAGTTTTTCCTGGCTTAAAATTAACCTCCCTGAAAAAAGCAAGTTCTATTGTCTATATACAGAGCAGGTACAAACCTCAGCAAAAGTTAACCCCCGCCCCAAAACCCCTGTATGTCAGGCCCTGTATGTTCCTCTCTCATCTCTCTGCTTAGCTAACAAGCTGCAGGAGTACTGATCCTCCAAACACTTATACCATACTGGTAGAAATGGGAGCTAACAGGCTATAAAGTCTTAACAGTTTCATTACAACTCACTCAACCAAACATCTGTTAAATCACAGCAAGACAATGATAACACCCTGTTCCTTTACAAATTGAAGACCAAATGGTTTAAATATCCTCTCACCAGTTCCACACCAATGACTCCTGCACCAATGACAACCATCTTTTCGGGAACTTTTTTCAGTGACAGCGCACCAGTGGATGACACAATGTTATCTTCATCAATCTAATGACAAAGAAATCCACAAAGGGAGGTTTACACTCTCTTTTTTACATTATATATAAAACACATAGACGTTGAAGTGCAATTAGATGCAAAAACTTACTACACATTAAATTATGTGGATATTATATTTGAAAAACAGTACCATTAAGATTTCAAATACTTACAGTAATTCCAGGGAAGGGAGCAACTTCTGAGCCTGTGGCTATAAGTATGTTCTTTGTATTGATAACTTGTGTGCTGCCATCTTCTTTGGTTGCAGTGACTTGGTTTTTGCCAGTTATTTTTCCAAACCCAGATACGTGTACAACCTTTAGTAATCAGAACACAGTAACTTCAGATTCAAATTACTTACATAAGCTACACTACATTTAATCTGAATCTCAGTAATGCTTTAGAGAAGCTGCTAACATGTACCTTTGCATCACCATCCACAAAGTAATTGTATACTATTCTTTTAAGTAGATTAAGAATGAAGGAACTGTTCATTTAAAAAATTTTTAGAAGAGAAGCATTCAAATTATACCCTTGTTGAGTCAGTCACTCAAATTAATTCATGTGGCAAGAACAGGAAAATCAGATCAGAAAAAGTCATGGCTATACCTCAGTATATAATCCAAACTAACCTTGTTTTGTTTAAATAAATGAGCAATTCCACCTGTTAAGGCCTTCACTGCACCACTCTTCTGTTCCATCATCTTCTCTAGATTCAAACGGATTCCTGTAACTAAGGTTAAAAAAACCCTTCTATCAAGCATTGCAGTGTTTTTACTTAAAGGAGCTAACCTAAACACAATTAAGAGCTCTGACACAGTACGTGTTGAATGGCCCTACCAAACAGTAAAAGTTACACTCAACAACTGCTATGTTAAAAAGCAATATTACACTTTTCAAATATAACTTATTATCGCATGATTCGAGGCTCCAGGAGCAGACACATGTCCCTAAACCTCCAGCTAACAGATAAAGGATATTATTTACAGGTCTAAAAATATTTATAACCAGAAATATACAGTAGTCAGTTTTGAATGATTAAATTTGCTTGTTGATGGAAACCATTTATGTTAACAGGCACTGACAAACTGCTCTTCGCACTCACTTTCGATTCCTCTATTAGCGAAATCTTTTCCATGGGCCAAGTGATACAGATGCGAGTTGTTCAGCAAGGCCTACAATACACACAGAGAAATGTAAACTGGGACATGCATTCATGATTTAATTAATTATTTATATTATCAGGAAAAAAGTAATCTGATGTTATTTGCAAAACATTATCACTTTTAAGAAAAAGTCTGGCATGTAGGTATTTAAAAAGGTGTATTTCAAACACAGAAATTGTACACAGGAGTTCTTACTGAAGTGTTTTATAAAGTTCCATACTTAACATAAAAATAGAAAATAGTTAAATTCACACGTATCATTTTGCTTGTTTTACCAGTGAAACCAGGAATGTCTCCATGAGGATTAAAAAAAAAAAATATTAGAACAGACTTTAATAGAGGAAAGAAAGATGATTCTGACTGACTCACAGGAAAAGTTCCTTTTTACCTTGGACAAGAGATTACTTGTCAACAAAAGGAGGATACAGAAAAACTGGATGAGGAAAACCTATACTGAAATCCCTGTCAAAGTTTTAGCCCATGTAGATGTACGCAAGTTAAAATTTGTAGCTGAGGAGTTGTACTACAGTTACCACAACAGCTACCTGAGCTGAAGCTAGATGGCTTAGAGCGAGCTTAGGTCACTGGACATTCAGAATTCAAAATTAAAGTCAGAATAGTTTTTATAACAATGTTTATAAATCAGCAGCTTGAAATGCAGAACTTCTAGAACTGTATTTCTATTAGAAATAGCAATCTAGTTAGGAAGGGATCTTGGTAAGAAAAATTATGTCTTTCACTATAGCCATCCCAAACATGAAATTATCAGTATCTCTTCAAGAACAAGAGAGCAAGACTGTGCAGACTGAAAGCAGGCACAGTAAAACATTCAAAGCACATTTTGAAATACCTGCTTTATTTACACAAGCTTGAATTAAACTAATACTATCAGAATAAGCTAATTCCATTTTTAGTAATAAGTTTCTCAACTCTCACTCTTTAAAATTGATTTGCCCATTTCATATAACTGTCTCAACCCTGAATCTGTAACATCCAACATCACTGAAGAGAGCCACTACTTCAGCAATTAAAAAAGAAAAAGATTTCTATGCCCAATGTATTATCTTTGGTGCCTTTTCAGAAAGGAATTTCCAAATAGTTTGTTATAGCCTCAGTGTACGCAGCCTACATATCCTCTTCTTAAGAAATTTATTGCCATTCAAAAAAAATTCTGGCTAGTATCTGAGTGTAGCCATGGGTTCAGAAGTATTTTCTTAAGAACTTAAACGGATAAAAAAAAAAAAAAAAAAAAAAGACTTAAGAAGAAAAGTTAGTTAAATAGATCCTAGCAAAGTTCCAAACTTTTAAAGTAACACCGCATTGATCTACACCTCATTTTTAGTTTTTCCTCAGTATATTAAGATATTCTGAACTTCAATAAAACTATTAGTAAAATGTTTAGGAGAATTAATATATAATTTTAAAAACTGTGTATTTGTACTGTATTTTCTCCTACCATACTAATGGAACCTCTCTGAGCAAACAGATTAGAAATAACGATATAGTTTGGAGGGATCTTGGTAAGAAAACTATGTCTGTTTCCATAGCTGTTACAAACCTGGCCTTACCAGTGTCTTCCTTCACCTGCTGGATGCTAATGAGGCAGACTCGTTAGCATCCAGCTAGACAGACTTGATTGGACTAAGGCTATCTAACAATAGCACTGTTCTTGTAAGGCCCTAGTTCTGAAATTATTTAAAACTGGACAGATAATGTCAAATATTAGGTTCTTCTGAATTCCTGCTTACTTCTCCTTTCTTTTGGGGCTGCTGAGCCCCAAACTATGCTCTTTCTACAGTCAATGGAGAGAGACAGCTCTCTTCAGAGCATGGTGCATCCAACCAAAACCAGAGTTCACCATTTTTCAGGGGTACCTCTCTCCCTTTAATTTAGATTCACTTTCTTTACCCCTAGTTACACAGTTCAGCATTCCGTTAACATAAGAACATCATCGTGGACAAAATTACAGATTTATTTTGAACAAGCCAGTATGAGGATCAAGAACTTCACATGGTAGACTACAAGAGATACAGTCATCTGAAACAGTTAACATCGTAGTCAGTTACTGGTTACAACACAGCCTCAACAGCTCAGAGTGAGAAGATGTATCGGTATGCATCTTTGGTTTCAGTTCTCTTCCACTCTTCGATTTTGGAAAGTCCACAAAACAGACTTTGGAAACAAAACACTTGTATTGAGCTAGTAAAATTGGAACCCCTTGTGTTATTTATTTGGATCTTCAGCTTATTTGGATTGCAATTTCAGTTTTTAGAATCATAGAATGATTTAGGTTGGAAAGGACCTTGAAGATCATCGAGTTCCAACCCCCCTGCCATACACAGGGACACCTCCCACTAGACCAGGTTGCCCAAGGCCACATCCAGCCTGGGCAACGTCCAGCCTTTTAAAGAAAGTAAGTCAATCTTGGACAAAGACTTAATGAAGAGTTTAAGTGATTCACATAATATCTGTTATTTTTAATGAAGTTATGACAAACTACGTACGCTTACCTTGGATGGAATACATCCAACATTCAAACAGGTTCCACCTAAGGTTTCATTTTTTTCTACACAGACAGTCTGAGGAAGAAGTGGGGAAAAAAGAACTTTTTAGCAAAACTAGGTCACGATTTCCTTACAGGGTATCTGACAAGTTAGAATTGATGACAAAGACCAGACATTTACCTAATAAATCTTTCTCTACAAGTGTCTCATTAATTTAATTCCTAGATTTATTTTGTGACTCCGATTTCCCCTCCCTCATTTTTTTTCCTAACTTAAAACCACAAAATGGCACTTTGAAACAAAATTCTCTACCAGAAGAGAGCCACATTCCCCAGTGCACCATTTATACTTTCATACAAGTTTAAGTGCTGTTGTTCTACTTCAAAAATCCACTGTCGCCTTAATTAAATACAACACTCAGTTCTGTGAAAGATGTTCCCCTTACAATCAAAAAAAAACCTGCAAAAAGAAAAAAAAATCATACAAAAGATTCCTAAAAACAGGTAACTGCAAGCAAACAGACAAATGAAGCAATACATGTTAAAATCACATGAAGAAATAATTTCTTTAAAGAAAACAAAACAAAAGCCCCAAACCACAAACATTTCCCTCTCTAAACACACTATACTGTAAGACCCTTTGCTATAAATTTGTGCCAAAAATCTATAAAGCAAGAATAAAAATCAAATAAAGCAAAGCCAAACAAAAATAAGGTCAATACCAACATGGATGGAAAATATTTCATGTCCTTTTCATTAACTTGCCAACATCAAAGTATGCAAAGGAAAAAAAAAAAGCAACTGACAAAATGTCAAGTAAACAGATCACTTGGGGGGTAAGAGACTATCATAAACCTTTTTTATGGAAACATAAGAATTGCTATCTCCTTCTCTGCAAGGTGCACACATTTACAAAATAACAGTTCCTTGGTTTATACTATAAGAGCTCCAGCCTGCTGAGAAGTGACTACCCAGGTGAAAGCCTTTCATCGTTTCTTTAAATTGCTGCTTTTGTGCTTAAGTAGAGGTGATGGTAACACGAAGAGCAGGATTCACTGTAATAAATCACAGAAACACACTGAGACATGCTGACCCCCTTTCTACCCTTTCTCCTGTCTTAAGCACATGAATGCATGAAAAACAATCCAAGGGCTTTGAAAGCTGCGCTATGGATAAAACAGCACCAGAATGCTCCTACCTTTACCTGATAAGGAGGTTCTGCCTCATACAGTTTACATCAGCTTCACCAACAAGGCCAAGCAAAGCTGCTGAAAAGCCAATGCCCACAGAACATTGTTGGCAATAACGTGGGATGCTGTGGTGGTGACACAAGGACTTAACGGCTTCTGCTAGCACATGTAGCACTGATGTTGAGGTTACTGTTGAGTAGTTCAGCAGAGCATGCTCAGGTTCTTCCTGAACTACAGAATCTATCTTTTTGCCCCTCTCACAAAAACATCTCCTTACATCCCTCAGGGACATCATAAACATTCTTCACATTTATTCAGTATTACAGGTGACACATGCCAAGCATGTCTAAATATTTTACTCACTCCAACTAGCTGTAAAGCAGTATAACCAAATTATTTTTTGCCATGATGAAAAACAGAATCCAGGGCACTTCAAACCTCCCTGTATATGGGTATCCTATTGTTAATCACAGATATGAAGGACCTGAGGACGGCGTGGCTCCAAGAAAAGCAGGCATATAGCCACAAAAAATAGCTTTAGAATAAACAAACATGAACTCACATGGCAGAAGGCCTCAATCTCAATTAAAACCTGTAGCACCGAGCACATTTTTCTCAGGTACTAATAGCTCAGTAACAACATATAGCTAAAAGCAAGAGTATTTATTAAGACAAAAAAAATAATTCACAAGCATGGATAAAGACAACTCGATTATCTGCACTAGGTCACAGGCAGATGTAAAACTTCTTAATGGAATCTCAAATATTTATATTTTGGTACAGTTAACACATTAGATGGCTGAAAGATAACAGAAGAGACATCACTGAAACCCAGCTTTGGGAGTAACGAGCAATGAGGGACAACACTCAGAATTACAGAAAAGTTTAAGTTGACGGGACCTCTTCTGGAGGCCATCTAGTCAAGTCTCCTGCTCCAAACACAGTCAACATCAAAGATGTATCAGGTGGTTCAGGGCCTTGTACAGCCAAGTTCCGAAAATATCCAAGGATGAAGACTACACGCTATCTGGTCCCCCGTTTCAGTGTGTCACTGGAACTCCATTCATCAACAAGAGTTTGTCCTTACCAGGCAGTCTAACCAACTTATTTTTGCCATGAAGTCTAGATGTCATAGTTCCGAAGCATGGGAGGCACCAGCCAGCAGGAACACGCTCAAGACTGCTAGAACCACCTTCTCAGATTTCAAAATAATTAAGACAAGAATAATGCAGTGCCAAGAGAATAAGTTGGTTTCATATTAAGGAGCAAAAGTTGCCTCTTTCAAAAGGGATTCGAAGACAACAGACAGAACAACAGAGATTAACATAAATAAATGTAAATTTGATACTTTAGTATTTCTACAGACATATTTTCGCTTCTAAAATTCTCACATGGCAATGGAATTCCTCTACTCACATTCAAAAACCACATCAGTTAAATACTGGTTTTTCCTCTTTTGAGGTCCTCAGTCTGATCTTCAGGATATTTTTTCAGTGGCCTTTCTGTCACTGTCTCAATTTATTTTTTTCCCTTTTCTTTGTTGGGAGAAAAATTCCTTCCTAACATTCTTTTCCCACCTTCTCTTCCACAAGGGTATAAGCACACCTCAATTATCACTTCCAATCAAAAGCAAGCTTTCCTGAACAGCTCTGTCAGTAGCCTAGCAGGGCTACAGACAGTCCTACCATCACATGTCCATTTCACCTTCTGTATAATCTGGGTAAGCAAGGTAAAGAAAGATTACCAACGTGTCAACAGCATCTAGTGCCCCAAGATGTGACATAAGAATTTCAGTTTTTCAGTATCGCACAGACATCTTCCAAGTTCATCTGGATGAATATTCTATTTGAGTGAGGTCTCATCTTACCTTAAATCCAAGCTGAGCTGCTTTGATAGCAGCAACATACCCTCCAGGACCAGAGCCAATAACTGTGACATCAGCATCAACTGAAACAGAGAACATTTGAGTTATTTTTGTTTAGCAGCTAATATTTTACTGCAGGAATACCAGTTTATATTTTTTTAAATAATTCATGTTTGAAAATGTGGGGTTTTTTTAAAAAAACAAGATGTCTATTAAAAATGATGCAACTCAATAGACTAAGTTTAGATAAGTAAACTACACCTGTGAGAGTAACCTTCTGGATAAAAGGAAAGGTTGCGTGGAACTATTCACTCTGCAATAAAAAGAAAAAGTCTTAAATCCTACAGGGGAAAATAATGTAAAAAGAAATGAAGCAACTAAATTCTGTCTGACCCATCCATCTTGCTATAAATCCTTTAAGAACTTAACTCAATATGTTTGGATAGTTTACTAAACATTCTTCCAACGCAGCTTCTATTCATGTTTACTGCAAAAGATAAATGCTTACTGAATGCTGTAAAATCAGTAGTTTATAAAGGAGAAAATATGGCTGAAACAGATATCTATGCAATCTTTATCGATTATGAATGCAGCAGAAGCTGTGAACTTTGTACCTAAGCCATGTATCATAAACACAATCTCGTATGGAATATTAATTACCATCACTGTTCTTATAAAGTTCAACTTCTATTTATAGCTTTAGCTTGATATCAAACAGGGTAAATAAGTCACTATTTTTCATCTAAATCTCCATGCTGACATGGATTCCCCCATCACCCGGAAAACCGATTTCCGAGTTTGAAGCACTGCTTTGGTTTGTGAGGTTTTTTGGGGTTTGTTTTTTTTTTTTTTGTCTAAAGAAATTCTTCACAATTAATTACCTTGATCGGCATAGGTCCTTTGTGACACTGCAGAAATTCCCTGGAGACCATGATGAATTCGATCAAAATGGCTTCTCTAGAAAGGGAAGAAAATAAAAAAAAACGCTTAATTTTAAAAGCTCAAGTCTACCCTTGAAGAAAAATAAGCATTCAACCACATACAGACAAACACACAGTTACAATCGCCAGTTAATCAAACCAGGAACATGGCTGAAGCAGAAATGGATGGCGCTGACTGGAACAGGAGGTAGAAGTCGCTCTGCCGTTCACCTGCTCTGCAATCTCAGCCGATCATTACACCTCTTTTCACGTCAGCCTCGCCTAAGGCTGCCTCTAACTACACAAACTTTCAACCCTTCACACGGGGCTCTCAAACCACTTAATGACATAAATGAAGACACCCACAAGAGTTTACAAAGAAACTTATTGTTCCATAACCATCCCCTTCAGCCACCTCCTGTGAACAAGCAACATCCCAGAGGTGGTTCTGGAAGGCAAGACTTTTTAATTGTAATGGGACAGCACAGCACAGTCCCTACATGTCTCAGGGGCCGATCATGCTGTACCTGGAGCGGAGGATCCTCCTGAAAGCATTTCTGAAGCCCTCATCGCTGCCCAAAGGCGGGAAGCGACCCTCTGACAGCTAGCGGCTTCCGCAGCCACACAGGTGCCCGCCCCCGCTCCCCGCTCCGCCCG